TGACTCCAGCCTCATTAAGTGACAAGAAATTGTCACTTGGTAGGGCTTGGGTGTTTCTAACCAGACGGTTAGGTGGGAATAGGACGGTTTGAGGATTGGGCGAAAAGGAGGAAAAACGGTTAGATGGAAGAAGGAGGATTGGAGAATTGGACGGAAAGGAGTGGATGGGGTGTTATGGTGATTGCAAGTCAACAAATTCAAAGGATCATATATCATGCAAACATGCAAGTTAACGAAGTCAACAAAATCAAAGATTTACATACATCATTATAAATCATGCAAACATGCAAGTCAACAAAAATCAAAAATCACATACACCATTATAAATCATGCAAACATGCAAGTCAACAAAAATCGAAAAATCACATATACCATACATATCATGCAAACATGCAGGTCAACAAAATCGAAAAATCAACATACTTCATACATACCATGCAAACATGCAGATCAACAAAATCAATGGACATTTTAATTCTTTTAAAACATTCACAATTTAATGAACATTATTAAAAAACAAGCATTAAAATGCTTAAAAACAAACATTTATTGCACTAGAATGTGCATTTTTTTATTTACATAAAATTAAAATTTGACTTGCATTAGATTAGATTAAATAAACATTATGCAATCACCATAAGAGGGTTATAAAAATCTAACTAGAATACTGTAATTGTAATTATAATTGATATAGTAATACTATTTGTAATACTTAAATTTATTTAATAAAAAAAATAAAATATGAAAAATATTTTAAATTTTAGTAAAAACATGTTAAACTGTGTGTTTGAATATAATATATTCTTGGTTCCATTATTAAAATGGCAGAAACAAAAAGGTATATATAGTAAGCAGTAGAGTAGCGTTCTTGGTTTACAGATTTGTTAATTTTCTCATCCTTCAAAAGGGCGTGGAGTGCCGGTAGAAACGCTGAAAAATGTATCGGATTTGTTATTACAGTGAGGAACTTATATTTTTACTTTATTTAGATTATTTCCTAGTTTACAATAAATTAAATTTTATATTACATTTTGAGAATTTTATATATACTCTATTAACACGTTCCACAATGAGGGCTCATGTTGAGTGTTCTGGGTTGATCACAAAAAATATCGTCTTAACAAATATTTTTGCGCAAAAATTTTTTTGTTTGCAAATTACATATCGAATCTGCGATAGAGGAACTGTCGGTAGCAAGCAATTGCTAGTCATCAAGAGATGGCCGGCTGATTTCGTTGCACAGAGTTTATGGTAGAGGGAAGCTAACACTGGAGAATCATCATCAAGCGGTGACCGGCCTTATGTGAAGAACAATCCACTTTACTAAACGCTTCATTTACTTTGATACTCACAATTTCTCTCCCTATATCTTTTACTCGTACCTAATAACATGAAAACACTGCCGTCGTGATATACGTAATACTAATCTCAATCTTCATGGGGAAATAAACGGGCTGGCATTAAACGAGGTAAACTAGTCATATTTTTCGAAGGCATTCAATGAGTATGCTTAAAAAGGTCGGGAAATTTTTTATTACAGGATACGTCATCAGCAAGATCGAATTTCCACAAAACCTGCGATTCATAAACCCGTGCAACACGTGCTTTCATTAATGACGCGTAATAAATTAATGGTGAATGAAAAATAATGAAGAGAGTTTTGGAGCAGCGGAAAACCTTGTTTTTTTCTGGCCGATTCGCCAAAAATCCTTCCTGATTACTGGAAAAACCAATGATTTGCCGAGCAATATCGAACATTATAATCTTCTCTCCGGCAAAAAATCATAATTTAATCACTTTTCTTTCATTGATTCAGTAATTGTTTATCGCTATGATTGTTTATTGACGCATACAAATTAATGATTTGTTGTATCGACGTAGAAAAAAACAAAATAAATCACAAACGACATTAGTTTCTAATTATGATTTACCGACAATGATCATAAATACTTTCACAAATTTTCTATTTTCAATTTACTAATAACAATGTCCAGCAAAAAAGAAGAGAAAAAGCATAGGAAATCAGAACAAGAAAATCACCAACAAAAAGCAAAAGAAACCAACCAATTGCAAACTTCTACTTCAAGAAAAACACTTCGTCGTTTGCGAAATGAACAGCAAATTGAGAAAATGTCGTCAAAAGTCCCGCATGGAATTTCAGTTACTTTGAATTTAGATAAAGCGATCGAAATTACTAAAGAAAAAGTTAAAGGGTAAAAGAAGCAACTCGTTTTCAATAGCAGTATTCTTTCAAATTTTTTTACTTTTTTATTCTCTAACTTATACTTCGATTAATGACATCAAGAGAATAAGTAAACTTTTCAAAGATGCAAAATTTTATGCTGATGATGTTAGTCCCGGGGATGTTCAACAAGGAATGGAGGTATGCGTGCTATTATAATTTGTCCACCTGCACAAATATTTCAGGAGTCATTGAGACTATTTGTGTTGAACGTGATGAAAAAGTCGGGGTTAAGTTGGAGAGACAATGTTTTCAAGATACAACTCCATTACTTTACTTTTATTAACAATAACAATAACAATAGGTATATGGGTTTATCTTTTTCAAGGTATTTAAATTTAATGTTTTTAATTACAGATTCTAGCTTTAGAATAGGAACTTAATGATCTCATAAAATTTCATGCTAATATTATTTTTAGGACGGCGATTGGGTTTTTACCATCAACTACGACCAGTTATTCATTTGAACTGACATAGAAAACAATACTTCGACTATTTCTGCTGTGTAAGTCCTTAGTTTTTATCTTTTATAGAAAATATTAATTTATTATCTGCGTATGTAGTTCATGTAAAGATCCAAATGAAACTTGGTTGCCATTACTTGAGAAGGCATACGCCAAAATTCATGGAGATTACGAAAGTATTGAAGGCGGCACTATATCACATGGTATATTTATGAAATATTTATTCATCTTTAGTTTCTTTAGTTAGAACAATTCAATTAAACCATTTATTAAAATTTGACAAAGCTCTCGAAGATTTAACCGGCAGTGTGTCTACAGGCTATGCAACAAGTGAAATATTAGATACTGATCGATTATAGAAGGAAGATTTCCTCAATGTGAACAGATCGGTATTGCTTGGTTGTGGCAGAACCGGACTTGGACAAACAAAAGGACTATTAGACGAACATGCATACAGTATTTTAGACGCAACAGAATACCAAGGCACAAAACTAGTAAAAATATGAAATCCGTGGGGAAAAATGGAATGGAGTGATGGCAGAGAACTTTGAACCTCGGAATCTATGGCGGCACTGAATCATCGATTTGGCGATGACGGCATTTTTTGGATCTCTTATGAAGATTTTTTAATTATTTTTTTAAATGCAAAATTTTGATGCTAGTTGTAATGTTTACTCCGCGTGGATTAATTATAATGCCCGTCCAAAATCAGATGGCAAATTTATTTTGAATTTGTCAAAGAAGACAAAAGTTATTATTGTTCTTCAACAACCGGATAATCGATATTTCCATAAACCGTCGGCATATTTGTAGGTATTTTCTTGAAAGTTCATAGTTTATTTTAAACTAATCAAAAATTTTCCCATCATCCCTCATGGTCTTCACTTAGATACCAACTCACTCGCCTTTAGAGTTTTCGAACAGGGAAGTTCGACCTATCTAATTCGA